TTTTATCTTTGACTGAAGTTGAATATAGTGTAATCGCGCTATAATTCTTTACACATTTGACAAGATAACTTAAGACTTTATATTTAGGTTCATCATTTAAAAGCAAGATTTAGACTATCCGATCCGACCTTAAAAATCTATTTTTATCCGATGATTAAGATAGAATTGGTAAGTGTAAATAACGTCAAATAGGTTTTATATTACAACACGTCAAAGTTAACACTCACACTTCCCAAAAAGTTCTTTACATAAAGTCGGAATAAAATGATCAAATATGATGCAGAAATTTGAATGCCACCACGCGTACGATGAAAGATTTAAAATAAACAAATTTGCATCATATAAATTCAGTTTTGAGTGGAACATTTCCACCAAATACATAACTCATGTTACTTTATCAGATTAACTTTTGAGTTAAGAATTTAACTACTCCTACGATAGATTGTATTACAATTTACAAAATTTCTTAGTTCTATCGCTATCAGTACCTATTTTACATAAATGGATGTTAAATATCCATCTAATACTTCATTCACTCTAATTCGTTTATTAAATGGAGCTCGAACGAACCATTAACGGTCTTATTACAAAAAAATAGACACGGTTTCAAACCTTGTTTAGGTAAATTTTGTAAGATTTTCTGAACTTGTTTCAAAGTCAAACTTTTTTGTGTTTAGGTATAACTACCCTCATAAAATTGAACAAATTAATTAATAATTATGTCTTAAGTTTTAACGCAAAGTAATTAATGAAAAAACTCTTTTTGAACGAGTATGTTACATATAGTTAAAAATCTTGTGCCTACGGAGCCTGTAAAGGGCACGTAACAATTATTTAGAATAATGTTAAGAATAAATGAATAGAGCTTTATGTTGATACAAAAAGTGTTTTTTTAATTATAAATTCTTTCTAATGCCGTCACTTTACTTGGTTGTTCGTAGTTGCTACTTATAAACTTGATACTTGATAATAGTTTGTCCTTATAAGGAATGAAAAGGACAGACTTATGTCAAGTTTAGAAATAGCAAACACGAATAGCCAAGTGAAGTACATTTTGTAATGCCGAAAAATGTACCTACATAAGAATAATCGACATTGCAAATTAACATTAAGTCGTTGCTTTTATTGATTTGTTTTAATTTATAATTACAGTGTATTAAGAGTGCGACAAGGAACTTAATGAATGTGAGTGAATGTCCAAGGAGGGCGCTGCTGTCTACGTAAATGACATACAAAATATGATATTTAAAAAGATAGTTCCAATTTTCGCCACATTCATAAAGATCCTTGTCGCACTATATTTTGAATTAAATAATAGTTGAAACACTACAGCTGTATCACACAATGATATTTCAGTTCTGTTTACGGAGCTACTTATAGCATATATAATATGTCAATATTTAAAGTCAACGAATCACACGAATCAAAGAAATAATTGACGGACGTCAATAATATGTTTTACCGATAAGAGAGCTTTATCATAATCATTAATAAGTATGATACAGCAAGTGCAATTAAAAGTTAATAATTATGATAAAGCAAGCTTTGTTGTTCACTAGGAATTTACAAAAATATCTAGGAAATCAATTTCTTACCAGATATAGATTTTTTTAAGACGGGCATAATTAAAGATTAAAAATACATGCCTAGGAATCGACTAACGGGCAGTTTTATTAATCAAACTCCGTTATATATAGGCCTGTTAGGGCTTTGTTGCCTAAATATTTTATTATTTATATTATAATAACAATTGTTGCTAAGACACGGTACTAGCCGGCCGGCCTATTCGCTAACTTTTTTGATATTTACAGTTTGTAACTAAAGAGAAAATTGCATATCCATCGATGCTTTTTAGAAAAAGTATCTTAATGGCGTTATAATAGAGCAGTAGTGGATTACTAAGTAGCTAGAGTTAGCAAATAGACCAACAGATTATCCTTAACCTTATCTGGAAGTTGATTTTGAAACTGGCCGTTAGGTGTATGGTACATGGTTATGCAAGCATCAGTCAGTCAGTCCATCAATAATGACAGATGCTTGCATGATGCAAAAATCATTCAAGATAAATGCAGATTTAAGTCAATAAATTATTACATTTAGGTCACAGTAAAAGACCTAGAAACTTGTAATAAAACGGGTTTGATTACATGACATGGAGCCACTATCCATGCAGAAATATAAAACACTTCTCATTTTTTTTTATAATGGCAACACTTATATTAGAAACTTTGTTGCCAGGTTAAAGTTTTCCTTTAATGTATTTGCATCTGCATTTTAACTTTTAATAAATGTATTTAATTGAATTGAACCACATTCCGAAGTATCATTGAAGTTTGTCAAGAAATATATTCAGTAATGTCAATGATATTATTTGAGATTGCCTCTCTTAAGCCATTAACAATATTGGTTAATTCTCATGTCAATCCACCTTGTAACAATTTGGGGTTGGAGGTAATTTCTAACCAGTTCTACTAATTGGATACACTAGTCTATTCTAGGCAAAATTGCAACTATTTGTTATAAAACTGACAGCAATGTAAGGCAAATTTCTCACCAATATCATTTCTAATTGTACTATATATACTTGGTTTACGAATTAATAAAATATCTATTGATAAGCAAAACACTGGAGCTTATTGACCGCTTAATTTTAATTAACGATTCTTCACAAATTCTGAAACATCTATTGTTAATTTGATTTACAAAGTACCTAGTTCTAATGAGGTCGCTACCTGTGTTGCTATTAATTTATCAAAAATTCCATAGCGTTTTAGCATTATACATGTATTATTTCATTCACTTCCACTTAACTGAGCTGATAAAATCACGAATAACGGCCGCAACTTGAAATGCCAAATAAATTTAATGCGTTATTAAATGAGATGTTCTCTTGTTACGTAAAGAAAGTGATACCATACAATTTTAGGAATATTTAAAAGTTAATCGACATCTATCGAAAGTAATTTCATAACAAGGGCAAAGCCGTAAGGTAATGATAAGATTTGTATAATTTCAATATGAGCTATAATGAAAATATTTTAAAATTTTATTATTTTCTACACATTAGAAGTACAGTAGTAGAGTACTAGAAAATGTTGCTAGAATCAATAATCATAAATAGAAAATAAAATACGAAGAAAGAGATAAAACATAGATCGACGAGATGTGAGATATTTGAAATACGATTTCTTTAAGGTCTGAGGTTTATATAATGATGAGTGAATCTCCCAACCCAAATTGAATTTAATACAATTTATAATGCTATAATAATTTTAAACCTATTTAATACTTGTTATACCTGCACAAGGTGACTAAGTCATAAGTATTAATGTTTAAGAACCCAATGTAACACTTTTTTATATATTATAGGCATACGGGATGAAATTCTTGTCGCGATAACTAATAAAAGTTTGTGTTTGTGGTTAAAAAATACAGGTCATGTTTTTTTTGTATTTAATATTAGTTCGTCATGTATAAAGGTAAGAATTGATTTGAAATTCGAATTATAAATTGAAAATTTGTTTGAACTGAAAAAGGGCAGATTTAGTAGAGGCTCATGTATATATCAATGTATTGTTTGGTAATACACAAAATCAGTCGTAAAGTGAATTATAGTCCGAAGTATTTTTTCATCAAATACCTAAAAAGCAAGTCCTGTACATATTTTTTATATACAGTTACTAGAAAGAGTAATATAAACATATATAACAATAACCCTATAGACTGAAATAACGAGTGCCGAACTGACAAGACTAAGTAAGAATTTACACTTTTATTTCGACGTCATAAAGTTCATTTTGCTTCACACTTCTTGAGTAATTTTTTGTAAGTTTTACACTTTGTCAATGTTACATACAAGCCTAAACATGATACAAAATCATATTTAGGAATACGAAAATCTTAAGTTATATATTCACCATTAAATATAGTTTATAATAATGCAAATACGGTATTTTAGCTAATATCTTGCGCATATTTGAAACAAAACACTCACTATCATCAAATACATTTTTTTATTTCAATATTCACATCTTGTAATGTCTTGATAGAACCAATTTTCATAATTCTTGTATGCAGTTACAAGTATTAAATGAGAATTACTTAAAATATTTTAAAAAGCCATCTCATTTCTTCACAAAATTTTCAATGTAATAAAAAAAAATCATTTCTTAATTTTAGTCTTCAAAGTTTTAAAAACAATTTTAATGATAGAAACACTATTTGATAGTACAATTTTATGGTACAACGAAAAGTCTATGAAGAAACCAATTACACAATAGTACATTACGATACGCGTGACCTAAGTTGCCGTGCAGTAATAGACAACTTAGGCCACAAGTATCGTATACTATTTTATAGCAAGTGTGACATAAACCCGCCCCGGACGCGGGCAAGAGGGGGGGATGCGATTAGTGTTTTGAAAGTAAAATTCATGTATTGCAATCACAAAGAATTGCAATACAGACTGCAAGTCAAACTCTGAAAAGAAAGAATTCCGGTTCAGATTACCATTTTGAAAGTATATTTCAAAAGGAAAAAATCAAATATCATTACAACAAAATAGAATTTCAATGTATCCATGAACGTTTATTCCTAGATTGGCATAACAATATATTAAACAACGGGAATGAGCTGTATTTTTTGTACTCGTATAATTCAAACAAGAATTCTTAACCTATCGCTAATTTGTCATTTGTTTGCTGTGAGTTTTTAAGCTCCAAATGACATTTAAATGTGTTTCCTTTTATTTTTTCTACATGAGTGAAGTTGGTCAATTCATTTACACACGGTGCAGAAATAGGCAACTTAGGTCACGGAAAAGCGTGCGTAAAGTGCGGGTTTAGGTCACACTGCTATAAATTATTTTCTTTCAAATTTGTTTCTTAGGTTTTCACGCACATCACTCATTAAATAAAACTAGTTTTTCACGGGTTAATGCACGAAACTTTATTTATTAATTCATTCTGCGAAACGTCATAAATAAATAAAGTTTCGTTCATTAACCCGTGAAAAACTAGTTTTATATTTTCTTTCAAGTAAACAATGATATCTAATATTTGATACTTTGACAACTAAAAACAAATACTCTGCTTATTTAATTCTAAAGTTTTCACGCACATCTCTCAATAAAAAAGCACTGTATTAACAGGTTAAAATGTGTTTTTTAAAACACATCTCTACATTCTCTCTCTACTCTTTAGAACGGAGTCTATAAAGGATTAGAAACGTAGAAATATGTATAAAAGTAAAAAAAACACATCTTAAATAAGTTAAAACAGTGTTTTATTTATATATTTATATACTGCTTATCACTCAATTATACATCGAAATGTGAAGTACCTTTTAAGTTGTGACCTGTACAAGTCAGTAATATACTTTCATTGCTTCAATACTCTGTAGTGTAGAGTGAATTCAACATTTGATTTCCAGATGAAATGTCTTACGGTCCTCAAATCCATATTGGGATCAAGTACCTGAAAAATAATATAATTATTGGGTTATAAATAAACAAAATAGTGCACTTTCCTAGTAAGGGATTTAGATATTATTTGAATATTAGGTGTTTTTAAGTTTTATTTAAAACGATAAATTTCTTTAATTCGAATTTCAATACCTTGTAAGGTATTTTTACTTTCAGGCCAGCAGAAACCTTGCATCAGTTTCCTATTTTAAGAAGTTTATCTTTATGAATATTTCAAAATTATAAAAATAAATATCTTATAAAATAACTTTTAACTAAAATACTACAGGAAACCTTTACAGAGTTAAGGTTCTGTCCGACGGCCTGTGCGGGCGTAACGTTTGAGATTTAGCAGTCTCTTTACATGATACGAGGTAAATAGAAATCTCGTACACTTTGATATGCGATTTGAACAATATGTTGACTGTTCGTGTCATGTACACAAAACAAAAATATTATCAGAAAATAAATAAATGTCCACTCCACAAAGGATTGACTCAGTAAGTACAGCTTCATTATGCCCTCACAAAGTATACGAGATTTCTATTTACCACGTATCATGTATAAAGACTGCTAAATCTCAAACGTTAGAGTTGTCATAAGTTTGGCAACCTTGCGCTTCGCGGCCCCACCCGCATCAAAACAGGCCGTCGGACAGCACCCTTACAGTTCTCCATATTTAAAAACATAAATCTTTAATTAATCTTAAAATAAAAGGATTGGTCTACATAGTAAAGACGATTCGCCCTTTTAACAATGTTAAACAATTAATATTAGAACATAATATATTAATAGTAGACTTGCAACGAATATTCGGTTACTATTCGGTATTCGGCCTATTCGGCTGCTTTTATTATATTCGGCCGAATATCAACATATTATTCGGTTGAATACCAAATACTTAAATAATATATTTTGTCATAGAGATTGGTAAAATGAAAAATTAAAATCGATTGATTACGTATATATTACTTAACTAACTTTCGTATTTTAGTAGGGAAATATAATATGTCAATCCACAATACTGTTAAAAATATCGCAATAAGGAACCGCAGAATATTATTATTATCACTGTGCCCCGAGATCATCAGCGTGTAACTCCTTGTATGTTATTATGTTAATGTATTGGTAATATTGTTTAGATCACTTTCACATGAGGCTTAAGTACATATAGAATGAAATACTTCAGCGCAAAGCTTCCGGGTAAACTACGTTGAAAGTTGACCCGTCCGGCACGTGAATATAAAGATTTCTAGAACTGCTAACCCGGGAAAGAGCGACATATAACTGACCATGTGAAAAACAACTGACACCGAGATCTACTATAGCAACACGAAAAGTCTGCCCTTGAGCCTTATTTATTATCATTGCATAACACACCGATACTAGGAATTGCGTTCTTTTAAATTGGAATGGAAAATTATTTGGTATCACGGGAATTTCGGGGAATAAAAATGGTTTCTCCTGCACCGCAACCTATTGAAATTTTAGCCTCGATTACATTTTGTTGCAACTGGGTTACTTTAAGCCGAGTTCCATTGCAAAGTTGTGGTGGTCTTAAATTTGGGAGCAGAATAATCGGAATGCCAATTTTTAAACAAATTTCATGAGAAGGAAGTCCGGGCATATTTAAAGAATTTAAAAATTCTATCGGGTCATTAGTGGCTTCTTGTTCATCGGCCATTCTATTTATTGAACTATAAACTTTGCTTTCCCCCTGGATATTCGACAGTATTTTATTATTAATCTCAGATGCCTGGTCATTGCGAGGAGTTAAAATGGACCTTTCGCATAGCCAAGAATTGTCCTTATTTAATATATTTGTTACGTCACCGTAAACTGAGGATATAAGATGTTGTTGGGATTGCACTATACTACATAACTCAGGCGTCAGAATAAGTTTTCCTTGGTGTAGCAGTGGATAGGTATCTTTGGTGAAGGTATTTTCTTTAATAATATATCAGAAAATTCACGATCATCCTGGTTATCTACAGTTCTCACTCGCATGTTTATAGCCAAATGCACCGATTGTATATCACGCCACAAATAAGAGCATTTCAGGCAAGCTTTAACCTCATCAGCTCGGGTTCCCCGTGGTATTACCGGTAAGGTTTGTCGGAAATCACCACAAAATAAAGCTGTGATACCGCCCATTGGTCGATCATTTTGTTTTATATCCCTTAAAGTTCCATCTACCGCTTCTACTCCTTTTCGATGGGCCATCGTACATTCATCCCATATGATTAAATTACACTTTGAACGAATATTTAAAGACTACCAAAACAACTAATACGTGGTCCTAACTTTAGCTACCTTACACTTAAAATCTAAGTGACTATTTAAACTAAAATATTCTTATAGAATTATAACCAGAAATATATACACCTCACAACAAAAAATAAATGAAAATAAAGCTGAAACGCCTGTGAAAACTATCTACCTATACCTACTTCACTTAAAAATAAATACTTATAACTACTTTAATTAATAAAAGTACCTACGCTTAATAATTTTTAATTTGAACGAATATTTAAACACTACCAAAACAACTAATACCTATTTTACAAAATAACAACAAAAGAAATTCAAATAAACTATTTAAAGCACGGTTCCTCAATATCAATTATTGTCTGTCAATAAGGTCGAGCGCTCTGAAGGCATCAACAGCCAAATATTGAAGCTCGCTCGCTTTCTTTTTTTTATTTTTTTTTGTTTCCTCCCAGGCAGGGAAGAAGGTGTGAAATCCTCATGGATACCCTACAGCCGGCTGCAAGGTTATGTCAGACTCGTACTGACTAAAAAACACCCGTAGGGGCTGCCTCTGGGGGCCAATCGCCTAACTGGATTGCTTTGGAAAACGCTATCGCTTACGATTTCATTTTGTTATTTCTAGCCCCCTGAGATTTTCAAATGCCTCGCGCTCTTTTTTTTTTCTTTTGCATTGGTAATAACAATGTTAAGAAAATGAGCGTGAGGTATTTTGGCGGTTAGAAATAACAAAATGAAATCGTAAGCGATAGCGTTTTCCAAAGCAATCTGGTTAGGCGATTGGCCCACTGGCCGGGAAGGCCTCTAAGGCTTCATCGGAAGCGATCGTCCCCCAGGGGGGGGGGGGGGGGGGAGCGACGCAGAGAACAGATTTAGACAGCTCGCTCTCGGACCTCCCGCCTTTTGATACCCTACCGCCGCGCCGCCGCGACCCGTGTCGAGCGCGGCAACCGTTACACAAAAATAATCCTTATAGCATGATTCAGTATTCACGTGCGATTTCATGTATAAGTTTGGTGTTTCTATACCGATTTCTAAGTTTTTTTTTTATTGAATATTTAATAATGTTAACTTTTTTAAATTAGGGATGAGTCAGAGTATTATAAACGTAAGAGTAAACAAATATGATCAGAATGCTCCGAACTGCTAAGCTATCGGGAGTTACACGTGTTATTGTGAGTCAACCATAAAAGATAGACATATGCTGTTGCGGGATATTTTCTAGACAATTTTATGTAGAATATTTCCGTCATACATGATTTCTATGTAACTTTAACCATTAATGCTGCACACGCGACGGAAGCTTAAAAAATGGAGTAACTTCTCTCGTTTTCCCAACATTTCCCTTCACTACTCTGCTCCTATTGATTGTAGCGTGATGAAAAGTATACTATAACCTGCCCAGGAGTATGAGGAATAATTGTACCAAGTTTCGTTAAAATCCGTCGAGTAGTTTTTGTTTCTATAAGGAACATACACACAGACAGACAGACAAAAATTTTACTGATTGCATTTTTGGCATCAGTATCGATCACTAATCACCCCCTGATAATTATTTTAAAAATATATTTCATGTACAGAATTGACATCTCTACACATTTATTATAAGTATAGATAATCATTAAAGTAGTCATTGGTACATAACACAGTGTAACGTCGTATTTACGCCGTCACATACATAGATAAATAATATATGGTTTGACATCCGTCACTTAAGGATTTTCCCTATTTTTTTTTAATAAACGAAACACATCTTTAAAAATTGTCTTAATTTCATAAAACATTAAAATAAATACGTAATAATTGTTATTCTAAATTTAAGAAAACTTTTGTAATTTATGGTTAGTCCATGCCCAAATTTAAATTTTAATGCGCCAACACTGAGACTCGCGGCGTTTTTTGGAAGTGCGACCTGGCAACATTACTTTTCGGTTCTTTGCAGACACGAACAGTCACTTTTAAAAATGTGAAATATAATAATAATTTATAGTTCGGTTTCTTTTTCCAAAAATGCGCTCATCGCATTTTTGCAAACTAATATTGGTGCCAATGGCCCATTAGTAAAACTTTAAAAGAGCTGCGATTGCAGGTAAGAATTAAGATTAAAATTGTCATACATAGGTATATCTAGCCATGTTGCCTGGTCTCACAAATGTCTCTTTTGTTTCAGCTCTTTAAGTGATCTTTATACTCTTTATAATCTTTATAAATATCATTTTGATATCCTTGACCATGGACCAGTCATAATAGTCTAAGTAAAACCAATACTTAATGTACTTTGACGCCTGGAATCCAATCTGGTATGTACACTTTCACAATAAATAATTGAAGAGGAAAACACCTTTATCATTCAACCCTAGTCAAAACTGCCTTTGAGATTAAAAGCTGATGTTCCCGTAAGTTATTCCGGACACCCGGAGATGTCACCAGCTTCCCGGCGCCCGTTACAACTCTCACTTTAAATGGAAGCTGAGAAGCTAAAATCGGCTACCATCAACCGGCCACCACCTCCAGAATTTTTCGTTCTTTTTTGAAATAACTAACTAGTTTACAGTCTTTTTTAATTTTTTTTACCTTACAATGTCGCCTCTCACATAGGGACAGGATTTTGACTAGGATATTTTGTAACTTTGTAAGTGAAATATAGTTATTTTGCTATATCCATCATAACTTTCACATTTTGCTTAACATAAATTCATTAATTTTTCACTTTTGAACTGAATGTTATTATCACATAACATTCAT